GCAAGTATTGAAATATGAACAATATTTTATTTTAATATAGTAACTAAATAGGTAACTCAAATTAAGAACTAATAATTACTACTACCAAAAAGTTAAACCCATTTAGAATTCTGAAAATTCTTATGACACGTACTGCGAGGCCAATATTTAGTGTAACACCCATTAGCTTAAGTAGAAACCTCTAACCTGATTCTCATAGATCGAATGGGATAGAGACTTAAGTTTCTGAAACTTGTAGCTATGTACGAATGCTTGCGCCAACTTTTGAATTGAAATTTTGATTAAAATACAATGTTTGATGTCTTTTGAATACTCAGTATTAGTTGGTGTACCTAGCTTTAACATCTACAAAAAGCGTAAATAATATTAACAATTATAATAATACAAAGTCACATTTCCAATCAAAAGTAAGTTTGAACGTTCGTAAGTTACGTTCATTGGATGAACCTACAGGTCCTATGTATGCCAGACATATATACTGAAATTGAATTATAAGTACTACGTAGAGTACATATGTATCGATGACTTAAAACTCTCTTCCACGATGTTGGACCCGCAAATATATCTTCTCATGGAGATTGTATTATATTTTATAACTTACCATAATGTGATTATTTTATTTTATATCGGCCTTGTTGTTCTAGTGCTCGTAAGCGCAACTGTTGATCATGAGGTCGCGACTTCAACTCCCGGTTTGGACCAAATCAGTTACTGGATTTTTCTGTCAAGAAATTCTCAGTAGCAGCCCGGAGTCAGAAAGTTGGCAGTGTTTCTCCCCTGTGCCTTAGAAAGCACGTAAAACTGTTACTCCTTCGCTTGATCTCTCTCCGATCGTGTCGCACTGCCATCCCATCGGATTATGAAAGTGAGGGAATAAAGAGTGCACCTATGCTTGCGCACACATTCGTACACTATAATCCTGTTCTGCTCAGATGGCTAGTCTCTGTCTTGACGGGCCACCGTGACCGAATTTTATTTTTGCATGTCACATTTAACACATCTGAAGATTATTGAACCTTGACTGTTAAAATATTATTGATAAGTATCTTTAATATCATCTATCAACTGTGGATATTTATTTATGTGGTTAAAAGTTAGGAAAGACATACCTACAAAAGAAATTGTAAAATTCGATCAGATGTTCTTCTAGCTTATCATGTGTCTCACATTAAATATTCAATGTAAACAACATTTTTTAACATTGTTTTACACTAATTATTAAAGCAAATATAGTAAGTATGAATTGTTGTCTGACATATTAAGTAAAGGTAATATACTGATCTTGATCAAAAAATTGATGTACCATGTTGTTTAATACTAAGTCTCCTAGTTATTATTGGTATTGGTGACGATATACTGGATCTGTACCTATATCATTATACGAGTAAGCAAGTGAATAAACGCTCTAACAGTGTGATGCATATCGATTTAAACTGTATGCAGCTGCACCTACAGCTATATTCACTAGTTCAAAAGTTATTTGATGTTTTAACGAATTATTAAAGAAATCGAATTTTCTGTATTACAACATTACCACACTATTATAAACCGAAATCGTCCCGTTGGTGTCGTAAGAGGCGATAGAAAACGTGGTAGAGCCATGCTGCAGCTATATTAGTAGTATTGCTGTAGCACGAACTCGATCGGGGAAGGGTCACGCTCTCACAGAATACTAGCGTAAAATAGCGGCTTAATGCTGCTGTGTTTTGTATGGTGAGTGTAGAGAACCGGAGACCCTTTTTACTGAAAACGAGGCATTTCATCTTAGTCCTCACGGGTGACAACGCATCTGCATTTTGATACGCAAACGAGGATAGATGTAGATGTCTATGGGCCACAGCAACCACTTCCCATTAGGTGGACTGTGTGCTCGTTTGTCACCCTATCCTATAAAAAAAACTGTATCAGGAGACAAGCAGCAACTTCCTGATAACAACTCTAAATAGTAAAACAAATACGGTTGATAATCCGCCTGTCAAACGTGCCAACTATGTCGAAATCTCCCTCTTTGTGGCAATCTATTGGGCTGTGTGACTTATATAAGCTGTGATCAATAAATAAATGTACACTATTATAAGGGAACCGATCCCTTATCAAGACTGAAAGAGAAATATGTTTTGTTGTATTTATTTGAAATAGCTTAGTAACCATGGAAATGGTTTATCCCAAATTGAAGAATTTTTTTTTAAACGGGAACTGTTTTCTGACATGTAAGTATTCAGCCATAATAATTAATAAAAAGTAAAAACCATACTTCTTTCTAAATGTAAAGAAATCTATTTAGACAACTTGCAAGAATAATCCCGTGGTTTCCATGTCATCAGTATTTAAATTTTTTACGTATACATTCAGTATTTAAACGCATAGAAATATTTTTACTTCGGGACATTCAACCATGAAAAATTAAATTAAATTTAAAAATATTTTTATTTGCAAATTGTATTGCTGCTTGGCCGGGGAGTAACAGTATTGTCAAAGATCCCGCTTGACTGATGCGTGTGTTAGTTCAAATGTGAATAACATTTTTTCACAAGGTTGAATTTAATAAGCTACCTATTTTGAAGACTAAAATCCCTTAAATAACGGTCAAAAAAATTTCACTGTCATAAATGCCATGCCTATATTTTTAAATCTATACGTAAAAAAAAAGATATTTATGTGAACAGTGCGCATTTAAATGAAAATATTTTTTATGGATCGTATCGCGTACTTTTTTATATTCCCGACGTTTCGAGTATGTACTTTACAGCACTCATGGTCACGGAGAGGATTGAGGTGTTCGACGTCCCAATGTCATAGTTAAGCACAGCTACCTTTAGTTTTAAAATAAAATAAAATAACTTAATATATGTGAAATAATTAACGCCAGATAACCAGAAAATAATAAAAGAAAAAAGAAAAATCTAGTATCATTCAAATACATAATATGTCCTTTTAGTGACATATGTCACGAAAAGGATCACTTTTTTCTGTTAAATACTGTATTTAAATTGTTCTCCATGTAAGTTGTAAAAATTTCTTGGTTTCAAGTGCGTAACATTTGCGTTTGTTTGCAAAATTAAATAACTTGATAACACGCAACAACTTTTACGCCTCTGTATCTTAAGCATTTCCGTACAAACTCCTTTATAAAGTTTTAGGTTTCCCCCTCCTAATGTATTTTGAATACTCTGGAGAATGCAAAACTTTCCAAGAATACAATAAATAAAGAAAAAATATTTTCGTCTATACACATCACGTCGTAGGGTTGACTGATTGGGGAAAGTAGTTCCAATACCCTTATGTGTTTTTTCCTATCTTTTATTGATTACCAAGATAGCGTACTTAGTGGTTAGCAGAACACCATGAGAGAACACGCTTGGCCAAGTGAAGCGGAGAAAGATATAGCACTCATACAAGGGAATATTTGGTAGTAACTTTAACAACGTGAAACCTTTGCTTAATAATTCATATAGTATTACTACGATGAAGACTTGAAACATTTACTACACTTATGAATAATAAATTGAAACGGTTATCTTGAGATATGTTGGTGAACCTTTAGTACATTAGTAATAGGTATGCTAATTATAGTTCAGTTGTAAAATCAAAGGTGGAAAATGAAATTTGTAGACAATATATAGCGCGAAAGTAAATATTAAAAGGTGTCGAGTTAGACCGAGACGAACTTTCGAAGACCATGTGAGCAAATTGCTCGACGAGGGCCGGGTCAAAAGTACTCAGATACCTAGACGTGCATGTATGAAGAAGATAATGAATCTGAAAGAAGCGAAAGAGGTATGTAAGGATCGTGACACTTGGCGATCTGTTCTCTCTGGCTACCCCGTCAGGGCTTGTGCGTGAAGATAAGTAAGTAAGTAGACATCTTTCTTAGGTCGTAATTTAACCACTTTATTATGTTTTTATTTATGCACTAAATACGAGTTAGAAGATTGGGTATTACCATATTTCTAAACGTGGACACGTTGTTAAATGCACCAGTACGGATCGCAATCCATAATTCATATTATTAAAGGAGGGGGGGGGGAAGGCTTACATGGCAAACATATGCTCTCTTAATAAAGTTTCCTGAAAGGTGGCCGTTTAAGCTATATGCTGAATGGTATCCACTGTCAACCCAGGTCTTTAACTCTAATATGAACTGGTTCCAAAAAGTAGTTCCGAAACCAGTCTTGTCAGCCTCGAGCACAGATGCCCCCCCCCCCTCCCCCTGTCCAGCAACAGACAACAGGCGGATGGTGGATCAGGTAATGCAATTTATTATCTAGAGATTTATCATCACTTTTACCACCAGGTGGGATCATAGTTAAGCAGTGGCTTATATTATGTAAAAAATAGCACGTGAGTATTTGTATGTACGCATACATTCTCGTTCAGGTGCATAGGGAACAAGCGATTGACCAAAGACGATTAAAGACATGCGAGCTTCTTCATCATTGTGTTCAGTTTTTCACAATACACATCTGCAGTAATGCTCATCCCGTTAGGTAAGGAGCTGTGATGAATTAGATCGGCGCTAGAACACTATGCAGTGACCATCAATTTTCTAGGGGTAAGTTTTCGTTTAGGGCATTGTTTAGGTGCTGAACCAGGATCCAACCAACTCGCTGAGCACTTGCGATTGTCAAACAGAATCTATTTTTCGTCGCAGGTAACAATGCGGTTCAAAATTTTTTCGTTTATGTGCCTGTTGAGTAGGGGAAGGCACGTCTCGATGCGTACTTCGTGAATTCCATGTTTCTAAAATAAAATTAATTTGAAATTAGAATTCTTAGCCAAAGAAAAATGATTTTATTTTGAAATGGCCAGTACTGCAGAACGGCAATTTCATAGATTCCTATTATTACAATGAGGGCTAATAATTTTCCGCTCACCAGATGTCGCTGGTAGCAACTGAGGTAATGTGGGTAATGTTTATCTGTCATTGTTACAATCGACATAGGAAAATTGTGTTTTATTTAAAAGTTTTACGCTTCTAGTGTACGTTTATACACAAAACGATGCCTCAATGTTGTGCTGTACCGTACTGTTCATCAGCCAAAGGTGGTCACAGATTTCCTTGCGATAAATCTCGGTTAAAAAAATGGATAATAGCTATACGGAGACAAAACTTTATCCCTTCAAAACATTCAGTAGTCTGCAAAGATCACTTCACTTCTGAAGACTATACATTACCAAAGGATTCAACGTGCCAAAATCGTTAGTATTAGAGACCTATTTGAGTAAATCAATGTACTAATCATATTTCCTTGAACATCGTTTCTACTGTCATGATCTCGTTGATTTTTAGCAACTCCTCGTTTGAAAAAAGAGGCAGTGCCAAGCGTGTTTTTCTGGAATATTTCTCATGTTAATGATCAAAAAAAGATCGAGTGCAATCAAAGAGTCATTAGAAGACGACAAAAGAGAGAAGAGCAAGAAAAGAAAGTTGTATATAATCTTGACCAATGGTACCAGAACCGCAGTACAAAAGAAAATATAGAATGTGTTGAAGTGGAAATTGAAAGTATGTTCAAAGACATAGGGATACAGTGCTCTACAGGTGATCTATGTAAGGATATTATGATACCTGAAAAACAACCACATCTTTATTCAGAAAAATGCATTAGAAATATGGATTCGTTTTGTATACAAAATTTAAGTGGACCTAAGGAAGTACATTTCTATACAGGATGTGACGATTATGAGCATTTTATGTTCATATTTAGTTTATTTGGTGAGGAAGTAAATGACCTTAAGTATTATCCTACAATGAAACCATCGCATGGTGCTCATGTACTCACTCCTTTCAATGAGTTTTTTCTCACAGTTATGAAACTTAGAAGAAATACCTCAAATATAGAATTGTCTTTTCGCTTTAAAATCAGTGAGTCATCAGTGAGTAATATTTTTATAACGTGGATTAACTACCTATACTGTAAACTGAAAGATCTAAATTTGTGGGTTTCTAAGAAAGTACTAGACAATAATATGAAAATTTTGGGCAAAACCAATACATGTACAATTATAATAGATTGTACAGAAATAAAAATTGAGAAACCCAAAAATCCTGCTTCTCAACAATTAACTTACTCAAATTATAAATCAACCAACACTCTTAAAGTACTTGTTGGTGTATCTGCAACTGGATGTGTAACATTTGTTTCAGATGCATATGGTGGGTCTATTAGTGACAGACAATTATTTGAAAAGTGTGGATTAATAGATTTGTTGCAGAACGGAGATATTATTATTGGTGACAGAGGATTTAATATACAAGACCTTGTATGTCACAAAAACATTACAGTAAACATGCCTGAATTTTTAAATAAAACTAATGGACAGTTTGAACCACACTAACTACAAAGATCCAAAAAAATATCCTCAAATAGAATACATGTAGAAAGAGTAATAGGTTTGGGCAAGACATATAAAATTTTATCTTGTAAATTCACATCCACTTTAGTACCTCTAGGTAGCAGGATTATTTTTGTTTGTTTTATGTTGGCAAATTTTAGGTCAAATATTATACTATGAAATATTAAATAAAACACTTTAAAAATATAAGTTCTTTTAATTTAACACTCCAAAGGTTAAGAGTTCCATGTTAAAGGAAAAAATGGTTTTGATTAATACACTGTTTATTATATTCATAACAACAATTTAAATAAAAATCAAAAAGTAATTAAATTAATAGTAACTAAAATAAAGTAAGTATAATAAAGTTAAATAAAAATGAAAAAAGTAAATTAACAAGTCTTTTTAATATCTTTTGCCTAATCTATATCATAAAATTTTTTTGCAATAAGAGGTAACATGTAAGTGAAATAAAATTCTGTTGTTTTAGGGATTATAACATTGTTAATAATATTGTCATTCCTGTGCACCACAATTTTTTTTTCATCACAATTAGTCCATATGAAGAAAAGAAATCACAAACTGACTTCCTGCTGACAAGTAACTGGGTTTGTATCTGATAAAAATAATTACTGTTCTCATTAAGTTGTAGCTTGTTATTACTGATAAATATGTGTGGATAATTTTTAGGTGTTATCAAATCATTTTTTATTGAATAGGGACATTTTACTTCTAGTACTGTATTGTTATCTATTATTCCATCTGGGGATGCTCCAATGAAGGGGTGTTCACAAGAAATAATTAAACCGCTATGTGTCACAACTTTCCTCGACATGGCCTCATAACACTGAATGGCTAAATTTTCTTTGGACTTTCCCCACTGAACAGCCTCATTTTTTAAAGTTTTAGGAAATACTAAACCTTCTGCATATTTTGTTTTATCTTTTTTATCAGTGAATTTACATATTTCCCCAACGTGTGACGCAGTGACACGTAGTGCCCTTTCTGCATGCCAAATTTTGTTTTTATTTTGATTTCTTGTTAGTTTTTCTATAGTATTGGCTTGCTCCGGAGATACCTAAAATCAATAATAATAATATGTTACTATAGAAATTAAGCTTAAGTAATGCATCGAGGATTAATGAATAGGAAATGTTAGACTCACTTTAATTTTATTCAAGATTATTTGGTAGTGGAGAGGTTTATCAAGGTAGGAATGATCATACACCAGTGCACCCATACATGCAATTTCAAATATACCATTAAAACCCAACCGTTTTTTCTTTAAGCTGCAGTAATTTATAATCTTACTTTTAATTGAGTCACTTGAATACTCTTCATTCTTTCTATTAATCGGTCGTGGATCATAACACAAATTTGTCCTCTTTTTTTTTGAAACGTTGTACTCTTGAATCTCAAATGAAATATCACATGCTTTTTTAGGAGATAATTGCAAATTTCTTTTTTTTGGTTCATGCCATTTTTGTTTTATTTGTGTTGGAGTCTGCCTGATATGCCAATAGCAAAGTTCTTTAAACTTAAGAATTGCATAGCATATTACACAAACATGCTTACAAACCGCCTGAGGGCCTTTACCAGCTACACACTCACAAACTGATTGCAATATACTTCCACTTTCAGAAAATGCAACAGACACAAAATAAGATAGTGATTTTGTATTCTCAGATTGTACTTGACCTTTAAAAAACAAATGTTGATCACAAGTTGCACTCACTAATGCTATTAGATATTTGTTGATTAACATATTATAACCCTTACGATGAACTGCTGCATATTCTGTGAGACCAGCATTATCTTTATAACTATCTAAGAAGTATGTGTTGATGTGTACTATATCAATATCAGGTACTGCTGTAGTTTGGGTAACACTATGATAGTCACAATCTGTCGGCCATTCAATGCAATAGATTTGTCTTAATGAAATATCATTTTCTTCGCCTCTTGCGCAAAAATTATTATTACGGTCGTAATCTTCAAGCCTGTGTAAAGATCAAATTATTTAGTTAAGAGTAAATTAGAATATACAGTAAATCAATTTTAAAGAAATAGACATATTAAAGAACAAATATAAAATAATTTAATTGAGTAAAAATAAAACAATAACATTATAAATAATAATTGTTACTACATACCTTTCAATTAATTGGGATTTAGTGCCACTTACTTTTGCACCTCTAGTTTTTAGTTCTTTTTTTAATTCTTTTTAGGAATCTTTTAGGAATCCATAGTTTGGTTTATCCATTTTTAATTTAATTATGATAAAATTTAATAAATATATTATAATCTTGTAGACAAATTTCAAACAATTTAAATTCCCCGCTATGAAATCTGTCAAATTATTTACCTCACTGTAAAGTGGCGCCGCCCTGGTGGCAAAAAAAGTCGTGGATGCCCTCATTACGCGTTAATTATAAATCGTAATTAACGATAAAATTGAAGAAATGTTCATTGTATAAAAAAGTGTTACAAGTGTAACTTACCTATTAAGAAATATATTAATTAATCTGTAATGATGATGATGACGCAAACACTACACATTTAAATAAAACTAGTTTTACGAATTGTATCGTATATATTAACTTACTTTATATTCCCGACGTTTCGAGTACTTTACAGCGCCCATGGTCCGGGGGGGGGGGGGGCTGTGTTTGACATCCCAATGTCATAGTTAACCATATCTACCTCCAGATTAAAAATTATTAATTTTTGTGCCGATCTAAGCAGTATGAATTTACAGTATCTTGAAGTCTTGCAGTATGTGCTTGGGTTGGGATTTAATTCTATTAATTATAGGATCCCAAGCAGATGGTAGCACCCAGCCATCTTCGCTATTGAAATTAGGATGTTTTTGATTTCAATAGCCTCGTGAATCATCCTTGGAAAGAATCGGTGTTCTTTAGCGAGAATTTGTGGTTTATCAAATCTAATGTATTGACAGGGGTGATCCTATACGTGTTCACAGAATGCAGACTTTCCGGAGTGTCGTTTCTTCACATCGGCTATGTGTTCTTTAACGAGGGGTTTTATTAATCCTATATAAGAGAGACCACATTCACAATCAATCTTGTACACTCCTGCATGTTGCAGAGGGACATTACACTTGACTGATGGTAAAGACTGTCTAATCTTCTTCGGTGGCTTGAAGTATGTTTTAATGGAAGCACGCTTCAAGATGTAGCCAATCTTGTCAGTGACACCTCTGACATATGGCAGTATAGCAGGCACTCGCTCGACTGTTGCAGACTTCACTCGTTCACTATGACGTAGGCGCGGGACCCGAAACTTATCTACGTGCAAAACTTGCTTGACGTGTTGGAGCTCGGCGGCCAGGTGTTTACTGTCACAGATCCCTCGTGCTCTCTGAAACAAAGATTTACCCGCGGTAGCTAACTGTGAAGAAATCTGATGAGAATCACCGTTTAAATATCTATCTTCCAGAACCACCTTTTACTAAAACATTTTTGTAAATCAAAAGATGTAATCGTTAAAAAAATCAGAAATTATTCACACAAAAAATAAAAGGAATAAAATAAATTCCACATAACAGCTTCTGAACACGGTGCTGAGTGTATTGAACTAGACATAGTGTATTGAACTATCAAGGAATAACGAGTAAAGCACTTCAGAGGCTATTACGAGCTTATTATTTTATTTTTGTAGCATTATCAGTCGGTTTGTACTTTTTATTGTTAGATTATTATTTAATTATTTTTACTCCTACAAGTCCATTACCAGGGAAAGTAGAAGAATTTGTACTTCTGCCAGTGTTAAATTTATGAAATTATCCATTATATTAATTTGTTTAAAAACTTCTTCTTAATATATTGATGTGTCCATTGCAAAGTGTTTGGGAGATTTTGACGGCAGCTTGAGCCAGCAGACAGTCTGTGATGATATTATTTCAAGGCGGCTAAGCATACACAAAATCTGAGGTTCACATGACCATTGTTTCATCGTTTCCACTAATAGTTTACTCCTGAGCTGGCTGTACCACCCAGGCTGTATATTACTAGTAACTTTGAGTTCCGTGTCACGGCCAGCAGTTAAGGACTCGCATTGTTTCGGTATTTGATTTCCTAGATCAGATCAGACATTCCTAGATTTAGCCCTTGTGTTCTTTAAATGTCACAATTTGTCTTAACTCCCTTCATTTCTGTACCTTCTCAGCAATGCATATCAAGCTCCGCGTGCTTTTTTATTATAACAATTTGGTGCAAATGAGTCAAAATTAAAATATTAAACAAAATATTGTGGATAAATTAACATCGAATCATGACGTTAATTTCTTGATAGGTTTTGAGGTCCATGTCTAACTGAAATACTGCATTTAAAATATTTGAATGTTAATGATTATGTCTTATTTTTTTGGATTTAGAATGTTATAGTTTTTGTGAAAACATCTTTAATTGCAAATCTTAAACTATGCAGGTTTAATTATTTTAAGTGACGTGGTGTGTACGCCATTAAAACGGAAACTTCCACTTTAACCACTATATGAAACATCTTTGCAATGTTATATTCCTTTTGATTAAGTTGTCACCGACAAAGTGGTAAGATCAAAATAATAAAGTAAAACCTAAGAAACAAATTTTCCTTTTTTAATAAATAAAACATGGAAAGGGTATGATTCCTTTCAATATTTTGTAGGAACGATTAAAAAAATGTCTATTAAAATGTTAGGTTACGTTACATTTTAGCTTTATTTTCCATTCTGTTTGTTTAGAAAATATTGTACGATGAGATCATGCTGTTGAAAATATTATATCTGAATTAAGAGCATCATTAAGTGGTAACGATACACAATTCGATTTTGCCTTTCATTACTATTAATCATTTTGAATAAAGAAGAATGAGCAGTCGTTTTCCTTTCATGTTTTATCGGCATTACGTCTACACTATTAAAGTTTTTCAAACTCAATGTCTTACTTCGATAGCTTCAAAGTAAATATACACTACGCGGTAGCGTTTAATAATGAAAGAAAAATAAACAGAGTAAACACAAAAAATTACAAGTAATGAATAATTGTTGTTTAATCTAAATAGATGAAACAAATGAAAGAATGAAAATGTGTAATCCCTTCCAAATTTTCATCAATTCAACGCGATTCATTCACTAAAAATAATAAGAACTATAGGTGTCAATTTCGATATAAAAATAT